AAAAAAAAAAAAAAAAAAAAAAAAAAAAAAAAAAAAGGGGGGGGTGTATAAACCAAAAACATTAGAAAATCTTGCTGGAATTGATACTGGAAGGCAAATGGAAAATCAATTCTCTCCAATAGAGTGTCACTGGGTGTATCAACCACATTCCAGGCAGGCCCCTTGCCCAAGAATATACTGTTGGACAATACAAAACTCTGTTCCTCTTCTTTCTTTCTTTCTTTTTTTTTTTTTTTTGGTAGACTTTTTGTTTGATTTTGTTTTGGCATTTTTCCAGTCTTACTGTTTTTTTTTTCATTGTTTGTTTTGATTTTCATTTTGTGTGTGTGTGTGTGTGTGTGTCTGTGTGTGTGTGTGTTTCTGATAAAGATACAGAGAGAGAACACAAAGTTGGATATGTAAGGAGGTGGAGAGAGACTCTGAGAGAAGTTGGGGAGGGGAAAATTGTCATTAAAATATATTTCACAGAAAAAGAAAAGAAAATCTTGCTGGGTCCGATGGCACATACCTCCTCTGGGAGGCAGAGACAGGAGGAGCTCTGAAAGTTCAAGGTTAGCCTAGACTATATAGCAAGACTTTGTCTCAAGAAACCAAAATACAGCCCCCCTCAACCAACCAACCAACTAACCAACCATCCATCCATCCATCCATCCATCCATCCACCCACCCACCCACCCACTCAACCAACCAACCACTCAACCAACCAACCAACCAACCAACCAACCAACCAACCATCCAACCAACCAACTAAACAACTAAAACAAAATAAAACAAAACAAAACAAAACAAACTTTACTGTGCTCTGTCTAATAAACAACAACAACAACCAGGTTTTAACATCTGTACAAGCGGGCTTGCTGGTAGAGTATTATATAAACTTGTTCAGATGGCAAAGCGGGGAGGTGGCCAGGGAAATGTTGCTCAGATTTGAGGCCAGTGGGACCTGATGTCAAAACCAGACACAGACATTGAAGAAGTCAGTTATTCAGACCTGTAGTACTTTGTAAATACTCTGTAGTAATGTATAAGTAAATGAGTGTTAGCACTCATTTATAGAAGTAAGACTGATCTCACAACTCTGGACTGATTTGTTATTCATTCATAGTTGCAAAGT